TGGAGAAGGGCGTGAATCGAGGCCGGATCCAGCTAGCACTGGCGTCGGAAACCTAAGATCCGGTGGTACTGACTGAGGATCCGATAAGTTCGCAACCCTCAGATCCAGACTCGCGGGGTCCGGATCCCGAACCTAGCCAGCGAGATCCGAACCCAGTGTCAAGGGATCCTACGCTTGACAGTGCAAAAATGTCGGATACCAAGAAGGACAATGTAGCAGATCTGGATCCGCTATGGATCCATGCTCACAGATCATTCAAGGCGTTAATGGAAAAGATCGCGATAACGCCGATCCTACGTCACTTTGATCCGGATCTGCAGGCTGTGGTGGTTGTATATGCCAGTGATTGGGCGATATCCGGCGCATTGGTGCAAGAGTATGATCAGGTCTACTATCCAGTGATGTTCGCGAGCCGTACGTTGAAGTCTAACGAATTAAACTACGGGATCGCGCAGAAAGAGGTGTTGGCATTGTTGCGGATCCTGGATCTCAACTATATTACTTTAGTTGGGAGACGAATCCAAGTGATGACACGACATTCTACACTAGCTTGGTTGTTTGGATCCAATGCATTACAAAGTCGCCTGGTACAGTGGGCCGCGCTACTTTCACTTTGGATCCTCGAGATCGTCAAGTGTAACAAGGGTGAGGATGAGATCCTGGGCACATTAGCAGCGGGTATCACTCCCAGATCCGAAGTCGACAAAGCGTTGATCTAGATCGCCCCGAAGAAGGAGCCGAGACGCAAGATCCAAGCCCCGATCCCGACGGTGAGATCGGATGAAGATCTGTATGTCGCTAGCTTTGACGGATCCGCCCGTGCCAAGCGAGGTAGAGGCGCCTACAGCATGATCCTGTGAGTGAACTGTGGTGAAGCCCAGATCCGGCTATGCCGAGGGCCTAACTGTCAATGAGGCCAAATATCACGGCCTGTTGTTATGTCTTGATTTGTTGGAAGGGACGGATCCGCTACGATTGGTGATCTGTGGCGACTCAAACCTGGTGATCCGCCAAGTAAGGGGTGAGATCGACTGGAAGGCGCCTGGATTGACGTTATAAAGACAAAAGGCGTTGGACAGATTGCGGATCCGGCCGGATCATGAGTTGGTACGTGTGAAGCGGGATTGGAACGGAAGTGCAGATAACCTGGCTAGTGATGCATTGCAACGGCAATGTGGGATCGAAGTCGAAACCGATAGCGAGATTCAGGATCTGATCACATTGAACAGGCTGGAGGAGATATTGGTGGTGAACACGGAGGATCCGGTAGTGCAGATCTGCGTTACTACTAGATCGAAGGCCAGATCCGGCGTGAGATCGGGATCCAACCCCCCCCAGTATTGTGCGAAGAAGTGATCCGAGAGCTCAGGATCGAGCGGATCCGGCAGGCACAGGACGAGGAGGCGTGGATCCACATTTTGAAGAAGTATCTGGTTGGCGAAATACGCGATCTGACACAGGAAGAGGCCAAATCGTGCGGATCCATCGCTATGAATTATGAAGTGGATCAGCACGACCTCCTGTCTTGTTGTCCCACTACGAAGGAATCAGCTGCGGATCGGGACAAATTGATGTGACTAGTGTTACCTGAAACGTTGCATCAAGATGTCCTACACCATTATCATACTAGCCTCCAAGGTGGGCATCAGGGGATCGGCCGTACCTACGATCGGATCCGGGATAATTTTAACTGGAGAGGATTGTACCGAAGTGTGCAAAGATATGTCGGTGAGTGT